CCTACCCACCCTCCACCCTGCTGGCCTCTTATTTTGAAGTATTCAGAGGTTTAAATCGATGTGTCCGCGCTCTTCAGCTGTTAGACTAGGGCAGTCGCTAATCTTATCGCCCACCCCACCCCGCCCCGCGCCAGTTCCTGGCCCATCATCATCATCATGTCCTCTCAACAGATCTCTCGCTCTCTCTGTTCGTCCGAGAGTGTGTGTGTATGCGTGCGCGCACGAGACGGGCAGAGAGAGAGAAAGGAAAGGCAAGAACTCGTAGGTAGCGTTTATTAGGTTTGTTCATGGAAATTCCAAGCTACTCGCTCTGTCACTGCCGGGTACGATCAACATTTTCCGTGCTAGTAGTAGTTTGCTCCACCCCCCTGCTGCCCCATTGACCCCTTCAACTAGTAGATTATGACTTTGGAACGTTGGCCGCCGGTAAGACGTGGTATGTTTTACAACACGCCGTATTGCCCTGCCCGAGTAACCGCGTTTTAACCTCCTTTCCTCCTCTCTCACCCCAAGGCACAAATGGGAAAAAAAGAGGTGGAGGACCTTCTGAAGAAGGGTGCGTATGGCGCCTTGATGGAAGATGACAAGGCGGGTGACGAGTTTTGCGAGGAGGACATTGATCAAATTCTCCAGTCTCGGTCTCACGTTATACAGCTGGAGCAAGGTGAAAAGAATTCTACATTTTCAAAGGTCAGTGCTCCCTTCCTGCAGTATAATACCACTTCTTAAAACTGTCTATCTCTCTCTTTCCTGTTCACAGCTTCCACCGACTTTGCTCAGTTTTGTTTGGCTTAGCACTGTAGTATTGTCAATCATATATAACCTGTAACCACTCGAACTACCGCTGTCCTGCTGGGAGTGTTTGCCTATGACTAAAAAGCCCTGGTGGAAGTGAGTAGTTTTCTTCAAACCGTCTTCTTTCCAATATTTTCGGAGGCTTTGGTTTAAATAATGTAAGACCGACTGGACCCTAAGTCGTTCCTAGTCGTCAGCTAAGCAGACCCGTAATATTTCCTGATATACTTGCGGCAGGTAAGGGGAAATTACGTTTACCTTCCAAGTACCGAGCCGAGTCGACCTCTGCGACAGACCGTCACCCATTGGGCTTTGCTGAAGTCATCTTCGAAGGAAATTTAAGGAACAACGCATGTTGTAAGATGTAGAAACGTAATTTAGAGCGGAGCATTCTGGGGGGACTTGTGGTGTTCTTAGACACAAGTAACTGACGCTCTGTGTTCTTAAGTTATGTACGTGGAGTTCTATGTTTGGGGAGGAAGGATTTGGCTTCCGCCACACCAACGTAAATTGAGTAAAGTTGTACTAGATAATGACGTGCATGGCTAACATTCGCCTTCGGGCCACCAACAGTGTGCTCTGGCTTTCTGCGCATATCACGCCGCAGCGGAAGTCAATAGCAGCACCACTTATCATGATTAAACGTATTTTGTACAATTTCCGCATTCGTTTGGCAACTGCCATTTATCAAATTCCCAAATGCTCTGGCCGCTTGTATGATATTCGTTACTCGTTCAGCCTTGCTGCCAGTTATGAGACAAATAGCTAGGTCGATTGGCTTCCTGGTGCTTCGCGCCTCCTAAGCGTGCGTCTGTTAGTCACGTCTTCCGTCTCCTTCTGTTCCAAACTGTCCTATATTGAACACGGGTGTAGCCACCGACTTCGGACGAACTTGCTTGCTGTGAAAGTTTATTCTGTTGCATCCTCTTCACAACAAAATTTTCTGATGTTTCTGCTGCTCTGTTAACTGTCTGTTAAGAGAAGCAGGATGGCTTGCACTTATTTGTCTACGATAGGTTGTTTACCTCCGGCCGAGTTTAGGAAACATGCCTGTTCGGTTAGTCCTCCGGTTGTTTGTTTGCTTGCACTTCCTCAGTAAAAAAACTCTGTTATTTTAGACGGGTAACATCTGAATTTGTTCGAACAATTATCACCAATTAGCGATTGCTGAATTCGGCCACTACATTAACACGCCACCAATGTAATGGGTCTTTGAAAGGCTCGATACACGGTGGCAAACATCCCCGTCCTCCTAGATACTCAAACAGCCTAGCCCCATGTATTAAATTAGACATCAAGATAACTACCTCACGCAAAACTTGCTCTCCGTCAGTGGAAAAATCGAATGTTTCAACGGTACAATCTCAACTTGGTTTGAAGGCAAAGCACATCGGGCTCGACCAATGAGAGGTTTGGGAACGGTTCTCAGTGGCCACCTCGCAGCTAATGACAAAGGCCAGGATTGATCTCCTGATGTGTACGTGTGTGGGTTCGTTATCCCTACTTTGCAGGATGCCCATCACCTGTGCTCCAGTGAACGACTTTCTCCTACACTGCCTTAAAGTGCCGACGTTGGTTGCGTCATACTCCTCATATACTCCAGCCTAAGTCAATCTCAGCGTCTTGTCCTCGTCGCATCACTTTCCAAGGCGCCAGTTAACTTCTGTTCTAGAGCAAGGGACAAATATTCCCCTCATGTTACACATACACGCGTGCGTGCGTGCGTGCTTGCGTGCTTCGAATGCGCGCGCGCGCTCTCTCTCTCTAGTGCTGCTATTCCATTCCCAATGTGTAGAAGAAGTACCAAATTACCATTCTCGCGTCAATTCCTCTGCCCCCACTTTTTCTCTCCAGACGTGCATGACTCACCGACCGGGCTGGGGTGCAACAAGAACGACTTTAGTCATAGCCTCAGCGATTCTATCTCTGCCCTTCTAATTCCTACCTCGTTAAGTCTTATGTGTCTCCTATTCCAGTTAAAAGACATGACTGCGTATGTACGCCGTTGTGTTCTTAACGTCGTCGACGCCGCCGCCGCACTAGTCTTTTGTATTCAGTCCCCTTCCCCGCCTGACTTTTTCTCTGTCTCTGTCTCACCACTTTCCTGCTCATGCTTCTTAAAATTGTAGGCGACCTTCTCAATTTCGGACACCCGCAATGACATCGCGCTGGACGATCCGGACTTTTGGCAAAAATGGGCTAAAAAGGCTGGTGTTGAGGAGGCAGGCCTAGAGTTTGAGGTGAGCGCTCTAATTGGTATATTCCTATTTTTTTTGGCAATGTCGTTTGCATTATAAGGCGGGGGAAAAATACTTTCAGTCACCTACGCACCCTTCCCTCACAAATGCTCATGTACTTGGCATGTCTTTAATGTTTGGGTAAGGACCACCCGCAACACTGATGACTTTGCGCCAAGGTCCTTAGGGTTAGGTTTAAAGTTACGATTAGGGTTAAGGTTAGCGTTAGGGCTACGGCTACGGTGTAAGTCCATGCTGGAGGTAGGACACGACAATATTTACCCCTACTCGAAATATGCACACTGCCATCTTTATTACTTGGTCAGGGCGTTCTTACTCAAGTGGCCTTCTAAATACTCCGTCATCTGCATTGTCTGGGCAACAAACGTCAGAAGAAGGTGGGCGCTGTTAAATCACAGGTTTCATGAACTTGTGTTCACAAAAACGTGCTTGCGGCCTTTGCTATACGAGTGTTAACTCGAAGCGGCAAAACCTTTCACCCGAATGTCATTAATAGCCTGTGAGTGGTTTTAGTGCACAGCTATTGGTCACTCACTCTCAACGTAAACGAGACCTCCCTCTTAGGTACCGCTTGATAATCATCCCCGTCAATTAGAGAGAAGTAGTGTGATCTTAGTAACTGATTTCGAAACAAGATAAGCCTTTGAGGCCAATACTGCCAAAGCAGTAATCCCTCTGGTTACTTTAAACTGTTTGTTAATAAAACCCGTTTTGTCTGTTTTAAT